TCAATATTAATTGAGACCAATTGACTAGGCTATGGGTTCAATTGAGTGAGATTAAGTCTTATGGTCAAGATTGGGGTTTTGACCCAAATCAAAATTGAGCTCAAATCATAGACCAATTGAGCCTGAATTTGTTTTAGTTTGGTCATATCAAAAGTAAATTTGAGTTTAGGATGGGAACTGGGGTCAATTAAGATCAAATTGAAATACATTTGGGATGAATTTGGGGAATTTTGGGTCTTTAAAGGGCAATTTGGGGATTTTGGTTAAAGATGGTCAAATTAGCCAAATTCGGTCATGTGGTAATTGAAAGAAATAAAATTGGGAATATTTGGGATTTATTGGAATTTTTTGAGAATTTTAGAATTTTTTTGGGATTTTGGGTTAAAAAAGTGTCCCAATAGCAGTTAGGTAATTCGGGGGTGTCTGGGGCAAAAGACCCAAGATGAACATTTCAAGTAGAATTGGATAGATATCCATTTTAAATGAACCATGGATCAATGAAATCCCCATTTTGGGTTCTTATGTATTGGTCTTAGCCAGGGTATTGTGGGGGTATTATGTACCTTAACTTCAAACCAACACCCAGGGTCAATCCTAAGGCCAAGTAGTCCTATAGGAACTCTCCTTGAGTTCCCTCATACCTACTAAATGCTAGAGGTTAAAGTCAATATGTGGAACTTTAAGTTGAGTAAAGAGAAGAGTTTTGAATTTCTAATGATGAGGGTACCTTTTCTAATTTTCTAAGACTAGTCAGTAGGAAAGTCCTATGGCTAGACCTAGGCTACTAAAGAAATTTCTAGACCTCAACCAAAAGTGAGGTCAACACGACCCAAAGAGATTTCCTCGATTAGATGATATTTGGTTAATATTTGAGTACCTTAATGATGTCAAAATTGAACGATCTTGAGCTCGTTGGATTTGTCTCGTTGAATTGATTATAAGTTATTCAGATTTGAAATTAGTTTCACTTTCTAAACATGCATTGCAAGCTTTTAAAAATAGTTTAATGGCTTGATATGGGCTTGATTTTACTCGAATTAGACAGTTTTGATACCTTGAGTTCGTCTCATCTGAGTTTTAGATGATTTTTAGTCAAAGTTCGAACATTTCCTGCTCAAAAATTATCTTGAGACTCATGCAGGATAATGAAAATTTGTTGATTTTTTAGCAACTATTAAAGTCACACAAAAATAGTTCATTTTTTAAAACTATTTTTAAAAATAATAATCGCCACTAATATTTGTCATCAACGAGAAACTATTCCATGCGGACACTGCATGCAATGATGCATGCGTTGTCCGATCTCCACCGTCGATCACCGCAATCAAAATTTTTAAAAATAAAAAATAAAAAGGTTGAAAGTGAAGTCCACTGAAATACATATATGCGGTGATCGACGGTGGAGATCGGGCACCGCATGCATCTCTGCATGCGGTGTCCGTATGAAATAATATTTTGTCATCAGCGCATCATTACAACCACTAAACCTACCATAGCGGGGAACACCACCACTAGTATCCTTTGATGAGACGTCATTGCCAACAACAAATAGATAAATTAAAATTCTAAATATATTTATATTTTTTAAGATGTTGTATACATACATGATTTTATGTTAAAATATACGCAAAATAGCAAGCTAAAAAACTAATAAATATCTTATGGTTTATCCTCCCTTTTAAATTTATCTTATTATTATACTTACTGTTTATTTAGAGTCATTTGATTATATGCTAATTGCTAGGAATAAAACGTATCTCACTCATAATATATTTATTATTTTTTCCTTTAATATTATATTATCTCTAAACATATTTTCCAATAAATCTTTAAATGTAAAATACGGTGATAAATACGCTTACACGTACAAATATCAAAGACAATATGATTATTATACATATTAATACATTAAATCAAAGGAATGACAAGTCAGCCATTGTCATGCGACTGATCCACATTTCTCTAGACTGTAGCAGATATAGAAGTATTGATTGATTGGGTGGCCAATTGTCCCAATTTTTTGGTCTCTAATTAGACAAGTCCGGCCCACCTTGGGCCTTACATTCTATGTAAGGCTAAAAAATTAACATTACATAATAATTGTTCACATGATATAATTATATGAGAACTATAGAGATTGAACTCATCATAGCTAGTTGTATAGTGAGTGAGTTGAGTGTATTCTTGATTAATAATTAGGAACTGTGGAAAATTATTTAGGGAGGTTAAGTACTATTTGCAAGTTATTTGGGTGAGAACTATGGTCGATAATCTTAGCAAGTTGTAATGTTTTTAGGTTGCATAGATTTGGGTGATGGGTAACTATGTGAGTACCTTGGGGAATCAAATTCAATAGCCTAGTATTGAGGATCAAGCTATGGATGATTCTCAAGTAAATTGAGACGAGTTGGTTTTAGATGACACCAGGATTATTGAGTTTAAATTTGTAAGCAATTTAATTAATATGATTAGCATCTGCATGGTAAATGACATTTTACTTGTCCATGTGCTGCTTCAGATAAAAAACCATCTTTAGAATAACCGAGCTTTAAGTTTGAGTGCAATAAAGTTGGAAGAAAGTCTTAGGTACTAGATTTTAAAATGATATGTGAACTTAATACTTAGTGTTAGCCTAGAAAGGTCTTGTGCCTAAATTTTATAGAGAAAAGACAATGAATATTGTAGATTATGGATATAAAAGTCTTGTCCTAATGAGGACTCATGTCTTAATGTGACAGAGACAACCCAAAAGCTTTGTGTAATGAATTTTGATGGTTTTGAGACAATTCATTAAACTTTGTCGCAATTTGAAACATATAGTTCAAGAGAGTTAGTACTTTGAAAACTTGGATTTGATTTAAGCTTAAGATTTGGACATATGAGAAAACATCACCTTACATTAATTTGATAGATTGACTTCAGGTTAGTGCACATATGTAGACTCATGTCTATGAACTAAATAAATACTCTATGTTTAGTGGACTCAAGCAATTAGATTGTAACTAAGGGTGTGTTTAGGGCAGCTTGTGTGTTTCAGAATAAACAACTCATCCTAAAACGTGACCCGCAGGGGTCGACCTACGACCTGCGAATATAAAAATGAAACCGTGTTTTTGGATAAACGGGCTAAATGTGCGATTCAAACCGTACCGCGACATTTTGAAAAACGCCTCTGCACTTATAGGCTGCCCCAAACTGCCCTAAAACTACTCATAGTTTTGCCGTGCAATACATTGCCTTGCGTCAAAAGTTACGTTCAACTAGATGGGTTTTTTTTTACTATCGCAGGACGGTGAATGCGGCTGTATATTATAATAGGAAATTTACATACATACCACACAATTTCTAGCTATTTACATATCCAACAACTACATTTTCATATATATATTTATCAAACATTGTTGTGATAAACTTATGCATGAGAAGATGTATTGCACTTTTTAAAAGTAGATAATACGTGATATTAAAGATTTGAATGCTATGCAAGCAAAAATTAAAGTTAGGATGGTAAATATGTAATTATGTAAGACTTGTGTGGTAATTATGTAAATGCTGGCCTGATCAAGGTTTGCAAACATTTCAGCAAGCTTACTACTAGATTGATTCATTACGGACATGTTTGAAAATAAGAGATCTAACGGATGTGTGTGTGATCCGTGAAATAAAACTTCATTAACTCATATCAAAGCAGACAACTTTATTAATCATATCTTAGAAAATAAAACATGAAACTTAAAATTATATCTTAAAAAATGAAAAAAAAATAAAAATAAAATCATATAAAGTTATCAACTACCTTAAACTGATCCTCATTACCTGGGAACAAATCCCTACAAAGCTCTCCATAAAATGCACAGACCAACTCAATAAAAACAGGAGATTTCAAGCTATTCCAACAATAAAGAAGCTCTTCCACATCCATTAGATCTCTCACATTCCCTTCTTCCACAACCATCTCCACCAAGTAGCTCTCAAAGCTCCTACAAGCCGTCTCCACTTCGACACGGCTCGTGGTTACAGCCGGCGACTTCCGCGAACCAAAAGACTCATGACCAAAGCTCTTCATCTTAGCTAACATTGCCTTCCAAACCTAACTCCAAGAGTTGAAAATCACTTCCTTATTCTTCTTATTCTCTTCTTCTTCTTGTGAAGAAAGGGAAGGGAAAAAGCTTTATAAGGAGAAAATTGAAGGGGTTGAGGAGGTTGGAGGTGAAGAAAATGACTTTCATTGGACTAAAGAGATCTTATGATAGTTGAGTGTGGGGGAAGATAAGGGAAGATGGTGATGGTGAGAATGGTTGAGGGGATTATTGTTGTTAATTTGTTGAGATTAAGATAGGAGCGGGATTCACGTTATGTGTTGGGTTGGTGTGGTTGTTGGCCACTCCACGAATTTGATGAAATATATATATACTATTTTCTTCATGTTGATTTTGGGTTGAAAAAGTTGAGTGAAAATATTTTGATTCAAAGTTTAATTATGATGAGTTCTGAAGTCTAGGAAAGTTTAAATGTACCGACATAATTCTAGATTTATAAGCTTTTATATATATATATATATATATATATTATATATATATATATATATTTGCAACAAAATCTCAACTCATATTTTTCTTTGTGGCACAAATGGATACACAAAATTCAATAAACTCAATTCATATCCAAAGATTGTGTATCAAGTATTTATAGTGAATAAATGTTAATAAGTGTAAAATCATGGGTTTTAAATGTTATGACCGTTATTTTGAAGATATTATGTTAAATGCATTTATGCATGTAACGTACTTGAAAACTCTCAACGCCAGAAAAACTTAAGCCTTAGCTCTGTATAATTTTTGATAACATACATAAATAAAATGCCTGTGATAATCATAAATTTTACGTGAAAAAATTCGAGAAAGATAAAAAATCAAGGGTTCTAGTCCAGTCAAAGTAAAACAATATGAAATTAAAAGTACAAAGGTCCATTTTGCTTCTAAACTATGGAAGATAGAATTAGAAAATAAGGCTGAAATCACAATTTCCTTGAAATAATATAGCAAATATAATTATATAAGGGAAGTTGGAAGGTATGAACAACAAAATTGGCTACATAAGCCATACTTGGAGGCTATAAAGAAATGGTTGGCTAGACAAGCCACAGTGGGTTGCTATAATAGTTATCGTTAGATGCAGAAATCATAGTAAGAGCACAACAGGAAAAAAAACTAAAACCAACAACTTCTTACACATCTGAAAAATTATTTTAATCACTGATAGTTTTGCGATTGTTTTCATCTTAATTATTTGCAATGACATAACTACAATATATACCATCACTTATCAACAGTATTTTGTTTTCCGATTGTTTTTAGTTATAACCGACTGAATAACCTATCAATTATAAGTAAATATTAACCGACGACTATAGTTCGTTGGTTATCTTTTAACCCCCATCTGGCGTAGTTTTAACCGACACAATTTATTATTAAGCGATGTGAACAACCGTCGGTAATAGTGTTAATAATCGACAAAATGAAAGCCGTTTATAAGCCATCAGAACTAATCTTATATCCCGCCCGAAATCATCTTTCTCTCGGTCTTGCCCTAATCTCTCCTCTTGACCCTCTTCTTCTCTACCAAAAGCCTTCGCATATCCGTGAAACCCTCACATGTCCCTGTATGTTTCGTCCAAAACCATCACCTGCATCCTGAAACCCTCACGATGTGGTCACAATAGGAACTAAGGAACGCAGTTGCGGGATCACAACTAATAGTGACCAGAAACTCCCATTTTTTTCTCCTCCTTCTGCTCCTCTGCTACCAGAAATGACCGAGAAAAGTAAGTTGTTTTTTTTTTCATTTTCTTTTTTTTTAATTTGCTTTGAAGAATGTCTTTAGGGTTTAACAAGTAGGAGGTTTGTCAAATATTTTCCTATTTCAGTTAGATTATATCTAGGGTTGTAAATTTAGCTCGAAGATTGATTAAAATTTTGGCTCGGATCGAGATTAGATCAAAATAAATGAGCCAAGTTGCGAGCCAAAATTTTGGATCCAATTTTTTTCAAGTCGATTTTGAGCCGACCCCTGCTCAGCTTGAAGTTGGTTCGATAACAATATATGACTGTGAATTCAATGAATTTAATTCTAAGATCGTTAATCGCGTAAAGATTGATTCAAGTTTTGGCTTAAATTTAAGTAAATGAGCTGTGCTATGAGCCAAAATTTTGGAACGATTTTTTTTTTTTAAATCGACTTTGATCCAACCCTAGCTTGGCTTGAAAGCGGATCGTTAACAACCTTAATTACATCAGGGATCTGCTTTAAGCACATTTGTTTTTACTTTATTTATGGATGCTCTTACTAGACATTTACAGAAGGATGCACCTTGGTGTATGCTTTTCGCCAATGATATCCTTCTTGTGGATAAGAATAGAGAAATTATAGGAAAACCTTAAATTATGGAGGTCGGTATTGGAGTCTAAAGTCCTTCATGAGTCTAAAGTCCTTCATTTGAGTGTCCTTCATTTGAGTAGATCTAGAACTGAATACTTGAAATGTAATTTTAGTAGTAGTAGCTCTACTAGCATTTAAAAGGTGTGAATGTTCAAGATATAGCGGGTCTTTTGTTCAAAGTGATGGTGATAGAGATCAAAATGTGATTAATTGGAAGATTTCAAGTTGGTTGGTTGAAGTGGAGGAATGCATCTGTCCTATTGTGTGATAGAAAATATTGTTTGCACTTAAAGAAAAATTTAATAAGATGGTCGTGAGACCTGCAATGTTCTATAGCGCAGAAAGTTGTCATTTAGATTAAGGGGTTGTTCGTTTGAAACCAATATTTAAGTTGAATGGGTTTTAATAAATCCTGCAAATTCAAAATTATCAAATCCTGACGTATGTGTCAACTCCGGAATAGGATTTAGTTCAAAAAATGATAATTACTCGGAAATTGATTCTAAATTTGACTCACACATGTAACTCGGGTTGAAATAAATACGCTGAAGTACCGGCCAAAATTTTGGATCAGATTTATTTAGAACCTATATCATCTTGGCTCGAAGTTGGATCTTAACATCTTAGTATGTTAGTTTTATCAAAGTTCATTAAACGATGGAACATTGACTCGTAATTGCTTAAGACGTCTCCCTCTAATAGTGTATGTCACTGTAGTTATACCAGCCTGCTTATAAATATATTTGTTTCATATTTTGTCTCTAAGTGAAATGTTAATCGCAAACCCGATACAGATCACTAGCTTTGCACTTGTAAAGAAAATGTGAGCGAAACATACTCGTGAATGAGTTGATGTAGTTATGATGACAAACATGATTAGAGATAAAATACTAATAATTGTTTATTGATTATCAATTTTCGACAGCCCTAACAGCCTCAGTAGACTATTAACATTCTGATTTCGAGCTCAATTGTTGTCGGATCTAAGGAAATCCAAGTCAAAAGTAAAATCAACTCGAGCGGTAATTTTTGTTTTGTATTAAGAAAAAATAATTTCAACGGTCTATTTAGACTTCATGTTGTCTCTGCAACTATAGCTATTCCAACCCTATCACATGAATATTTGTTTTGTATTTTATTTCCAGCTCTAAATCCAATCTTAGAACTAAACATGATCGTCGCTGCAGATCCTTACACGATGGACTGAACACCTGAAAACATATTTTTAGAAGGAAATATTACAAAAGATGTAAGAGTTTTCATTGTATCATCCAGCGCGAACTCTAATTTTCATATTCATAATTTAAGTTTACTTCGAAATCTAATTTGACAGTTCCAAGATGAAAATTCACATCAAAATCAAAGATTCGTTACCGCAATTCTCATTTTGACAATGCAAATTAGATTTGGAAGTGGATTTCTATTTTTAAACTTACAATTTAGATTTCGTGAACAAAGTTTGCGCAATTTTATTGTACCTAACTGTGCTTTCTCTACTCTTTTTCTCTTTTCCATGCTCTATTACTTAAGTGAGTTTATCAGACACCTTTGGATCAACAACGTATTAGTTATTTACCTACCTGATTTATGAATGCATTTTTATTACCACTGTTTAATTTCTTCCAAACTTAAATTCCTTAAATGTTTAATTTCTAGTTATTAATGTCCATGCCTTTGAAAAATAAAAGCATGGAAGCTAATAATTATTTAAATTAAGAAATATATTTCTTAAAATTCTTGATTAGAAGAGCTAATGGAATTTATAACATATTTATTGAAAATAAATTAATTTTTTTTTAAGACACATAATTCATCACATAACTAAATAAATGAATAAATAAATAAAGACAGCTCTTCTGAGTCACTGTTAGAAAATAAGAAAAAGTCAAAGAAACGCGTGCCTTCAGTTTCAGCACGGCGCAGCGAACACACCGCCAGCTCTCCACCATTAATTCCTTCCTTCCGCTCCAAGCCTGTTTCTACTTTCCCTCCAAGTCTATTAAAACGTGAAGGGAAGACGAAGGTTGACAGATATGAAATAATGATTTGGAATTATACCTAATATATATAGGAATATTTAGATCTATACTCCTCAGTTTCAATGTATTTATACATCTGACACTCAATTTTTAGTTTTTGGAATTACAAGTTACTTTATTTATGTACAAGAATGTACATTTCACTTTTAAAATTTAAAAAGGTGATATTTTTTATATGATAGGAAAGATTTTATTGGTATAAATATAAAAAAATAAAATTTAAATCTTAGATGTGTGTGTGTAGATTTTTTTTTTCTTTTTTTTATATAAATATACATATATATACATATATATGTATATATATGTATATTTATATAAAAAAAAGAAAAAAAAATCTACACACACGCACACACATCTAAGATTTACATCTATATGTATATATATGCATGTGTTCCGCATCTCTGCTCATTGGTGCAGCCTCTGACGTAAGTCCCTCGGGTTGTGGGTTCGAATCCCATGGCGCAGGCTCTTTGGAACAATTAAAACACGTCTGAGTTTTGACCCAAATGGAGGAAGTGTTATTTGGTGCCCACTGGACCAAATAACGATTCCCTTCTTTTGAATATATATATAT